CACACACACACACACACACACACTACCAAATGCTCCTTGCTGTAGATGATCAGCTGTTTTGATGGGAGTCATCCAGTCCCCTTCCACAGCTTTGCCACACTAATGAAAATACCTTTTACCCAGTCAAACTCTCATGGCAATTTGGTCACGGTTTTAAAACACATTCCCGCAATGCCCTCTAGCTGCCACTCCAAGCATTTGCATCCAGCTAGGCTGGCTTTTTCCCTCCTGGTCGTGGGGCCTTCCCAGCTGAAAGGGTGACGGCGGTGTGTTTGTGTGTCTGTGTCAGGAGGGATATCCACTACTTTGGGATCAAGGTGAGCATCATCGAGCCAGGCTTCTTCAAGACGCAGGTGACCAGTTTGGAGCCGATTGAGAGGGAACTGCACAGGCTGTGGAACCAGCTCAGCCCGGAGGTGCGCGACAGCTACGGAGAGAAGTACTTCGAGAAGTGTGAGTCTCAGGCCACCCCAAGACGCGGCCACAATCCCCACCCCTTAATCAATTCGACCTAAACCCCAAATCTCAAATGATTCAAAGGGGTGTGTTGCATCGTAGACCTGCAAAGCATTAATGCACATACTGTCATCTACAGTCTGAGGTGGCTTAAGAGAAACTTAGCAGAGTTCCTCAGCCACAAACTGTTCACATTCAGAGCACAACTAGTCTGCTGCCATGACCATGGGCTCCATCATTAGCTACTGTAACTAGGAATGCTCCCAGACACTGCTCAAGACTGATCGAGTGGTGCAGGCAGTTGGTGAGTTTGTATCTGCTATGGAATTGTGAGTTTGCCAAAGCAGACAAGATCCCTGCAAGTTCATGTAACTGATCTGACAAAACTGCTTTAACCGCCTTAGGTTCAAATAATGTTTACAGCATTTTACTCTGTACTGTCCCACCACAACTTGCCCTTATTAAGTGCTTTAACACAGTCGTTGCCATGATGATCTCTTCTCACCTGTCAGATATCAAGATCCAGCGTTTCATCATGAACACGTTCTGCGATCCGGATCTCAGCAAAGTAACCAACTGCATGGAGCATGCGCTGACTGCCCGGTACCCCCGCACCCGCTACAGTGCTGGCTGGGATGCCAAGGTGGCCTGGATCCCCTTCTCCTATGCCCCTGCCTGCGTCATTGACAGCATGCTCAACATGGTGCTGCCCCGTCCCGTGCACAGCGTCTCCTAGGGACTCAATGGACTAACGACACTCCACCCACGCAAGCGGAGCCTTCTTGCAAAAGGCTGTTCAAGAAATAAGCCCTGAAAATTGATTCTGCCTTGACGGGACACAGGCAAGCCCCAATCATTTAAGGATATTGTTCTCTCTGCCCACACACTCAGTGCCATGCTACACAAAGGTCAGGTCCTTCTGGTGTACCAAAGAAGAAGCAACCATCTTCTTTGCTTCATATAGCACATTTTTCCTGATTTTGTTTTATTAACTAACAATCCATTCAGGGTCTGGTGCTATTTTTATTGATTGTAGTATGTGGTGAATAGCTGATTTCCCCCCTCTACTAACAAACTTGCTCTCCAGACTCTAAGCCTTACGTATATTGAAAAAATGACCAGCATGGGAATGTCCCTCTTGGCTGGGCAGAATAGGACGATTGCATGACTTTATATTGACGCACAATGGCCATGACAGATACAAAGAATGCATCTGACTTTCCAGTGTGATGCAAGACTGTCACCTGCAACGCTCATTATTTAAAACACTAATATTACTGTAGATGCCAAAGTAGTTAGATGTCTTATGATGGAGATGAATCTTGGGCTGGCAATGTCATTATGCAAAAATCATCAAATGGATATTTTTTGTGTCAGTTTGAAATTCTGTTTCAGGGCCACGTTCTTTGAGTCCTATCATGGCAGAACCAGAGGCCTTTCTGAGGATGTTTTTCAGGGTTAGGTGGTGCTCTTTAGGGTAAAGATCACCCTAATGCAGAGAGAAGAACATAAGAGAGGTTACAGGCCAGAGGATTCGGCCCATCTAGTCCATGTGTGAGCTAGTGGCCACAGTAATTGATCCGTGGATCTCATCCACCCATGTCTTGAAAGAAGCCAGGGGATCGGCTTTCAACATCATGGCTGGGTAACTTGATCCAGACTCCCACAACCTTTTCCATAAATAAGTGCCTCTTGATTTCAGTAAATGCACTTCCCTGTAGTTTCCACTTGTGTCCTCTGGCTCTTGTTTCCCTGTTCATTCTGAAGAGGTCCAGTGTGCTGATTTTGTGAGTGCCTTTCAGGATACTGGATTCTGGAGTGTTTCAAGTCTACTTGTATTGTCAATTTCCTTGTCAAACTAATTAGATCCTTAGCTAGACCAACATTTTTACATTTGGAAATGGAGGGGTTGAACTATGGACTCCCCTAAGACCCTAGTAGCATTCCCAATTAAAAAACAGGAACAGAGAGTTAGGAGTCAAGAGGGCCCTACTGTATATACTGAAGTTCACTGGGTGACCACACATGGGAAATGATGCCCCAGCTCTGTAACTTGAATAAAATGTGCCTTACATAAGGAAGTAAGGAGATCGGGACATAGTTCAGGCAGCACATACTGTATCTCCCCTGGAAGCTAGCTGGTCACAATTCATGCAACCAGTGCAGGTTATTAAACTACCTGCCTCATACACTGACAGCAGCAGCACGTTTGAAATGACAATTTTATGCATTTCGTCTGAGGTTCAGGAATGAGCTCTGAAATGCTGTTTTGAGGCCCTGCTGAAACCCACTGTGACTTGTTACTCAACCAAACACATTGCGTTTAATGTTTCTCATGTAGGTTCATTAGTATTGAGGAAATGTATAGTAAAGTGAATGTAATTCACAAAGTCTTGTTTCATTCAATTCCCATTCCTACATTTTCAAAACATAACTATGCTGAAAACATGCAAGTCCCACAACATTCAAAGTCAAAGCACTTTCATTATATTTTCTTCTGAAATAATTATTCAAAATGTACTCAAAGGTGTAGCAACAAACTTGCCAGTTTATGCCATGACATCTGTGCTGACAACAGTAATACATCAATTCTGTATATGGGTATAAATAAAATAATCTCTTTGCATAAAAGCTCCAGCCAGTTATTAATATTATACATTAATAATTTAATCAATGCAAATAATAACAAAGCACACAGAGCCACCGCGATACAGTACATAAGAGGATTAAAGACCTCAGAAACTAGTTCCAGACGATCATCAAAAAGAGCATTGTACCATTGGACAACAACTAGAATTGTTATGCCGATTTGCAAGTATCAAATAATTTTCCAGCACTTTCCTGCAACAAAATGAAAAGTAAAATATAAATAACTAACTATAAGACATCCTTATGATAACAACAGTTTTAAAAATTCACAATCTTAGACCTGTATCACTATTTATACGCATATACAGTACTGTTTCTGTTCATCGGTACTTTACAGAATTCTTATCAAACCACAAAGTCATTCTTGCAACATAAAATCAAACATTTTAATATGGCTCAATGAATACGCAAATAAAGAAAATAGAACCGTTCTGAAATATTAATGATTTAACAAATACACAGACTGGGATGCTTGATCTCCTTGATTCATTAACAAGAAAGGCAGTTAAGATCAGTACATTTACATACATACTGTATGCGAATATGCAACATGAATTCGCGTTTAGTAGGACACTGAGTTTTTACATTTTTTAACTTTTACAGCCATTAAAAAGTCTCCTTTATCAGAATTTTAATATCAAAATCACCACCAAGTAAAAGATTACAATTTAAAAAAAGTTTTTACGTACCTGTAGTAATAGCTGCTGTTTTTCACATAACGGCACCATCACGACACGTACTCGACCCAAAAACCTGTGCCCAAGTTTTGGATAACGTTTACCTGCTCTTTTCCCTTTAGCGTTACGAACAATTTTGCTGATCTGGAGTGGTGTTTTTTTGTCCGAATAAGGCTTGAAATACGCGAATTTATTTTATGCTTCCAACAGACCACGTATGCCACCTCACCAGCTTTTTAGGTGCGAAATACAACAAGGAATGGAAAACTGTTTTTTTTATTAGGAATGGAAAACTGTTGTCTTTACAGCAGAACCGGTGAGTGTTGCTATGGCAACTGGCAGGGCGACAACGTGCTGCACAGTTAAAACATTTGAGGAGTTGAAAACAAAAATGCTGCGTAACGTTTGGTGACTTGGTTGGACAAATTCACCTGTTGGCGGAACCTAGGTCTGACAGGTCCCTTGGGTTCAGTTCTGGCCCTGGGCTGCTATCTGTGTGGAGTTTGCACAGTTTCCTCCCAGACATCCGAAGCTATCCTGATAGCCATGAGCCATGCTGACTTCTGGAAAAATTGGCCCCGGTGTGAGTGTGCATGTCTGAGTTTGTGTCTGTGTGTGTGTTCCCCGTGTTGTCGTCCTGTCCAGGGTGTACCCTGTCTTGTGCCCGTTGCTTGGTAGGATAGGTTGCCTCACCTTTGTGACAATGAACTGGATGAAGCAGTTAAAAAATGGTTTAGAAAATACAGTGTTTAGAAAATTGGATGGTCTACTTAAATGAGCGTTTCATAAGAACTGTGTGCATTGTAAAGAAAGCAACATGCGGTATAAACAAAAACAATAGGAATCATATTCCAATTACTGTTGCAATCTGGCCTTAAATCTACCAGACACTTGAAGACAGGACAAGATTAACATAGCCTCTAAACTGAAACAAATAAACATGTAAAATAAGCAGAATCACATTGTTGTTTAATTTCCTTATTGTAAACAAAAGATTCCACTGCTGAACATTTAAATACTGTCATTGAGGAGCTGATTGTAGCAACAGTCCATAATTGAGTGGCTCACAGGGTCCAGAAACTGAAGAACTGGTTATACAGTGCTGGGCTGCATGGTAGTACAGTGGTCAGCATTGCTGCCTCTGCCTCATAATGAGCTCATCCTCATTATTGACTTCTTGCAAAGAGTCCATATAAACTAGGAAGATGTGTGAATTAAGAGGGCAACTAGCAAATTTGCAATCTGGGTAATTGCAGAATAAGAAAAATTAAATTAAGAAATAGTAATATATAAACATGCTGCAGAAGTGAGCAGGAGGTTGTTAGTTGTTCCTAAATCTCCCTACTATCTAATTCTACCCAGCAATAATTAAGCAGCATCTTCCATTCGGTTGACAAGTACTGTTCAACTTATGTGCTTTCAGTTAGAGGCAAGGTGAAACTCCTGCCCTGCCTGAAGGGACCCAGTTGGCCACCCCGATTTTAACAGACCAGGGGTTCCCAGTCCTGGTCCTGGAGGCCCACACACCTGTCGGGTTTCATTTTAGCGCAGCTTAATGATCTGATTGAAGCCTTAACTGAGCCAAAACGTTGCTTTATTAGAACATTTGCAAGCTTCTTTGCAAAAAGTAGAACGGGCAAAGAGTTTGGATTAACTCAGCCAAGGGCTCGGTTTTATAACTCGGCTGAAACAAAGAGCCTCCGGCCTCATATCAGTAGGGCAATAGCAGTGTCATCTGACCAGTCCACCGGGACTAAGGAGCACAAGTAATTCTCGATTACAACATCTAAAACAAATGCCGCTGAATAGCCATCCATTTGTAACCACTTCTTCCAATTCAAGCTCACAGTCACAGGGCACGGTACACCCTGGACAGGACACCAGTCCCTCACAGGACAGACAGACACACCGGGGCCAATTTTCACAGGAGCCAGTTAACTTACCAAAATGGACCACACAAGCAGGGCCCCAGGTCCAGAACTGGACCCAGGGTCCCAGCACTGTGAGGCACTAATTCTAACCACAGGGCCAGCATGTCACCCAACTGCTGAACAATTATCATTAGAAATTAAATTGTTCTAGTTCTCAGTCCTGTTTGTGAATTTTAAACAGGCCTCAAATAGAATTTTGAGGGGTATTAACCGCTTAACTAGATTATGCCACCGTAAGGTAACATTTGTGGCGCAGCTGTGAATAAGTTTAAGTGTAGCTTTTCGCCGTTGGTAGAGAAAACGCAACGAGGGCGTCTGTCGCCCGGCTCGGCTTCCATGATTCCACCACAAGAGGGCGCCAGCCACTCATCATACACAATCATGACTCAAAATACATGATGCAGTGCCGGAAAACCAGACGGAATACTGCCGTTTCATCAAGTCCAGCAGGAGGCTGAGCGAACCGGCCGAGTCACGACCAATCGCAATGTCCAAAGATAATCTGCGTAACTATTTTAGGCGAAATTGTGGTTGGGAAAAAAGTGTTTTTATTTGCTTTTTAAATAAATCGTTTAACAAGACAGGCGTTCTAATTAGTCTGGCGTACTACGCCTCCGGGATGGGCTCCAGGCTCATAAGGAAAAAACCGGTTTCTGATCACGGATGGGTGGGCATCGCTAAACAGTCAACAGGCTGGTCAGCTCAGATGAATGAATTGCATGATATAACTATTGCCTTGACAAAAGCACACACAGACATTAAATCATTGAAGTCTGTACCATGGTAATTTTATTTTAGAACTAGGAAATACCACGTTTTACCATACTAGATCTACCCACAGCAGTGTCATTGCGTACCTTACAGTAAAGCTCAATATTTTGGTATTTTTATGTCGCAAGCTATATTTAACATTTTCCCCATGATTCATTGCAGTCTTTACAACAACAACAACCACGTCCTTCATTTTACAGTATGTAGCTCCACTATCTCAAGATGCCTGAGCATATCCACCATATTTATTACAGGGCTTTCTCATCTGGTCGTTAATACTGATCATATTAAACAGCTCCAGTGTCAGTACTCAATTGCAAGGGACTGGCGCCGTGCTACTGCAAACCTGATTCACTGACTGCGTCCACCCGAAATGAGCACGCCCACCGCCAAACAAAACCGGTTCCAGAACTGCGATGCGCTGTGCTTTCTGTCACCGGACACATTTTTGTCATAACATCGATGTTGTACACGGTATATTTATTTTAAGATTTCAGATCCCAGTGAGCAAGAACTCTACGTGTAGACGCTAAATCGAATCTGTTGCTAGGAGTTTAAAACGCTTGCATGTCACGGGTCTTAAAATCTTAAGCAACAACCTTCATTGTTTGCGAATACATTACCAAGCTTTTAACCGGCTACATTTAAGCCTCGCCTGGGCTCTTTCTGCTTTCCGCTGGCTGCGCTTTATAAGTGCTTTTACTGGGCGTCAGTAGGGCCCCCGACAAGCCATTAACTCCCGTTAGGGAGTCGCGCAGTTCAACAAGGACATCTGTAGCCTATTCAAGGAGAAGGCAGGGCTGAATTATCTACACCCGACGGGTCTGAACAGCCGTTTTCGACGAGACTAACAGCCGACTTTAACTCCCCCGTAGCCTGTGAGACGTCAGCTGACACCCTCCTTCGGTCCAGAAAACCAAGAATAATTGGTTTACGCTTTAGGTGTTTCTAAATTTACGTTAAGTAACAACACCCACTGCCAACTTTTTTTAGAAGTCCACTTCAGACCTATTGAATTCCAGTTTCTCCGAGCAGCTACGTACAGCGCATGTTAAGGGTTAAGAGTGAACACTTCATACTTTATAAAGACATTATAAAGTCTTTATGAAGACTTTATAATGTCTTTATAAAGTCTTTATAAAGACTTTGACTTAATGTCAAAGTGTTGACATTTAAGTGTTGAAAAATTGAAAAACATGCTGTCGCGCGTCGAAATCCCTGTTGTACCCTTAGACGAGGGGCAAAAGGTACTGGTTATCACCTGAGGTCCCAGGTTAGATCAAGGGTCCAAGGAACAGGACAAACCGTGCTTTTTGCTAACCCTCTTGGCTCGGTGGATGAGTCAGAGGGTGCTGTGGCAACTTCCAGCACTATTTCAAGCGTAAGCCGCAGGTGCCAATCAGATGTGCGTTTTTAGTTTTAAACCCAGGGTATTACTACACAGGGAAGAGTAGGGTCGAGGTCATCTGAGGCGTGTCTCCTGATCTCAATTTGCGCCTCCGCGGTGTTGTTATGTCTGGGGATAGATAACATGTTTTTCTTATAGCTTACCCTAAAATAATTAACAATAATTAACAGTATTGCTGCTGATCGTCGTTGTTTTTGCTGACCACACATCGAATTTCCTCTGCGTCGGGAAGGGCTCTTGCTGAAGCTCACAGAACATTCCTCTCGGAAAAACGTCATCCGAAACTATTACCAGTGCGCTGAATTGGAAGATGAACCTGACGGAGTAGGTGGTACATATGAGTTAGAGTGTATTAGGACCTTTTTTTTTCTCTCTCCGTTTTAGAGAGTTTTTTGTGCTGTGACGTAGCTACAGTCGCTGTTTTTCGCGAGCCTGAGACTTTGCTCCGCTCTCGTGATCACTATCACTCCTTCTCCGGTGGGGTAAAAAAAAGGCAAAATACGAATTATTATCGTAAATGATCGCTGGTCTATTTGCGCTAGGAAGTGCAAAACGCAAGACCATTGGCTAACCTGTAATTAATAAAGCCACCGCCTCCCTTCTAAGGTTTTTAACCTGTTGTTGGTGGCCGTGCCTCAGGGACAGGGGTTGCGTTAGCCCACCTCGCTCCTGGGCTCGGCTGGGCGTTTCTGAGCGACAGCTCTCGAGAGGCGCCGGGCAGCCACCTGTCGTGCGCTCGCAGCAGCTGCGCGCTCTCCCGAGCTAGATAAGCGCTCGGACACGGGCGCTCCGCCGCAGTTTTTTTTTTCTGTAACCCCTGGGCTCTGCTGAGTGAGAGCGGCGAGTCTGGAGATGCACTGTTTCAGGCTCCTCAGGGCGACCCACGCCGGAGTCAGGGACGTACTGGTCAGGGATGTTTTTCCAAAAGGGGCCGGGGCGCCGGGGATCTGCCGCGGCTCCTTGTTCCGGCGGCGGAGACCGGGGAGGCAGTTCTGCACGGGCTCGGCGTCACACCTGCAGCAGAACGCTGTGGACCGGGACCACGCGCCCTGGCAGCGGTAAGTTCAGGCGTGGGGCTCCGGACAGCACAACGGGGAGAGGCGACTGAGCGCTATCCCGATAATGCTTAGGATTTTTTTATTTATTACATTTCGTGTTCAGTACAACACATCGCTCGTGTATATCCTGTACACACATACTGTTCTATGACGCAGTTCATATTGAGCAATAGGAAATGTGGATGATTACGTCTCACAATAATGCAGGTGTGCTGTACACCGGTTCGGCGCCTCGTCGCGTGGGATTTTTTCTATTTCCATTCCCGAAAAATAGGCGAATACGTGACGTATTATCTGTAGATACATAGTAACATGTAGACATCTGTCCACGTTACCGGTACCTGTTCGACTTCGGGCCAGCAGACAGAATGTGTGCGCGCGGCTGTGCCAGAAAGTTCTGTCTGCTCAGCCGGAGGCGCGCGGGGACAGGGGATTCGTTCACTATCCCTGTACCTATATTAAACGCCAATACTGTATGTATATATGTCAGTTTTTCAGTTTAACTTCTTAGATGGGAAATATTTTTGCCCTGAACCAAGCATGAACATGACGTGCATTGATTATTATACCGAATAAAACTTCCGAGATCTCGATGTTCTCTATTTTGTACCACGACGTTACATTATATATAACTAATATATACAGTTATTCAGTATTTAATTAAAGGTGACGTCGGGTGTGTTAGTGAAGATCCCGAAATAGCGGAATAGTTTATATCAGACTCGACACTGGCAGGGCACGGGTGCTGTAACACCAGCTTCTCCCATCTGTATAACGCGGGGATAGATGAGCGCAATTTTCACAATGCAAGCTTTGAATATCGCAAAGGCCTCCGGACCTCGTCGGTGCTCAGAAAGTATTTTATTTCTAAAAGGTTATGAAGCAGGTTTCCCTGTCTCTCTGGAGGTCTCGTTACCGAACACCAGGTTTGTCTCTTCTCTAATAAGATTTGTCTCTTCCCTTCTAAATAAGCTGCGTTAATAAAGTCAATGAACTCTCCACTGACGATCTCCGTCTTGAATCAGCTTTTGAATTTGAATTTGCGACGACGAATTATATCTTCTTTGCACTTGTATTCAAATGCCTGCATTGGTACCTGGTGATATAATCCTACCAGCATATCAAAAGTGTAATTATTTGGTGATAGGCTAGTACTTTACCATTGTACCAGAGTCTGCATTATTTTGATAACTATTTTATCCTTTTATTGTATTGATTCTGTGAAAGAGTTAGTCTCCCTTGTCTGCCTGTCCATCACAGGGCAGGAACACTGACACGCACACACGCACACCAGGGTCAGTTTTCGCAGAAGCCAATTAAACTACCAGCGTGTCTCTGGACTGCAGGAGGAAGCCGGAGCACCCTGAGGAAACCCATCCAAACACTGGAAGCACATACAAACTCCACACAGACAGCACCCCAGAAAATGAACCCAGGGCCCAGTGCTGCGAGGCAGCACTGCGTTACCTGGCTGCCCACATAAGTAACTTAACATCTCCAAATTACGAGGAGAAAAAAAAACACTCAGAGGCTAGCCAGTCTGGCTGTTATTTCACCTCCTAGTTCAGTTATGGATTTAATTAAGTAAAGACCTCAGCCAGCATGTCCACCAGCAGGTGTGGGGTCCCGAGTCCCAGGGTTTGTAACTGCAGTGCCATCCACATATATAATAATAATAAGAATTCTAGCAGTTCGGGGTCAACATTAAGATGTGTCTGCTTCATGCTGTAAAAAAGTGACCTGGTTTCTTTTCACAGTAGGTCTGTGGGTTGTTTGCTGTTGCTGTCTTCAGCAATACTGACTATACCTCCACTAGTTTCCTAACCGCTGGGTGGGACCCAGAGCCTAACCAGCCAGCTACAGGCTCATTGGGATACACTCTGGATAGGACACCAGTCCATCACAGAAATACCATGTATTCAGTAAATAGCAAATATACTGACAGCAACAGGTCAAAGCATTAATTTTCAACGTGTAGATGAGCAGATACCCTGCTGATAAAAGACAAACACCTCTGGTATTTGTCTTCACGCAGGATTGCAGGATTGCTGAACTGGCTGCAGCTAAGACAACAATTGCCTTATCTGGAGAACAAACAGGAGAGCAGCAGATTCTGCCTGTTCAGGGAAACAAGCAGCATTCTCGTAACTCAACTGACAGAAGAACCTTAGAAAGGTTGCAAACAGATACCGGTCTCAGCAGATCATATCTCCACCTAAAAGGCACAGAGAACGAATGATTGATGTCTTTAACCAAATAGATTTCCATCTGCGTACAGCTGGATTTTTTACTTGACAATTGGCATGAAGTCATTTCACATCAAATGTACAGCCTTGGCAGTATCTTGGGATCTGAACTCACAGCCTTCCAGTTTCAAGCCCAGAACCCTGACCACTGCTCCACACCTGCTGCCCTGTACAGCTACAGTCATGTGACACCAAGAGCACTAGGGAAGAACGCTGAAGTGACATCATGATACTGTGAGTATCATTCCCAGAGCGGCACGGGGAGTTTATACAAAGACCGTAGAGGAGCACCAGCTCTGTGATATCTGCAGAGCTGTACAAATGAAATCCAACCACCAACCAGAATGATCTGTGTCTGTTTGAACTCTCCAACTCTCAAAGGGAAGGCTTTGGCTGGGCTGTAGGGCAGGCAGATCATGCAATATCTGGGGCACAGGAGTGGTTTCTATTGTTAGATACACAAGTGAAGTGGAAAGACACCAGCCAGGTGGTTTTGATATAAACCAAATGCATTCCAGGATCTCATTGTCTGCGGTCATTGATGCTGATAAGGGGCCAGGAATGCCAGTTATCTGGTTAATCCAAAATTGGCTTAGTGTATCGGCTCTTACACTGACATATCCCCCTCCTTCCATTAATAATCCATCCTGGGGCCTATCCCATCAAGCAATGGGCAGTTTTCCCGGAAGCCAATTAACCTAACAGTATGTCTTTGGACTACAGGAGGAAAGCCACACAAACATGAGGAGAGCATACAAACTCCACACAGACAGTACCCCAGGTCGGGAACCGAACCCAGACCTGCAGTACTGAAAGGCAGCAGTGCTAACCACGGCACCACCATGGCATCCCCTTCAATAATCATTCTTCATCTTCTTATAACCCTGCTGAAAGGCAGACTCTCTGCCTGCTCGCTGCTCTGAGCCCTGTTCCCAAACCATTCATCCTGGCTTATATGATACCAAGTGCTACACAAATCCACATCAGCAGGGAACACAGCGGCTCTTTGTTCCGGATAGGTGATCGGAAGGAAAGAGTCATTCTTGAAGTTGTATCAGTGGTCCTTTCATGGCTGTTTTCCCAGAGTTTTGTCTCTGTCTCATGTTTGTCTACCAGGTCCTGTACTGAAATTGTGATACCTTATAAAATGCACCAGGTCCGTCATCCCTTCCAGTGCTGGTACCTGAGCCAGGATGCTCTGCACCTGTGAGCACTATTAGATCCTTCTATTCTACAGAACAGAGTACAGCCATTCTGTGCAATATATGGACAATGCTAAGAATGGCACTCGCAAACACACATGTAATACTTTTCGATAGCAGGACACATCAGCAAGGCTCTAAGGGTCTTTTAGGACAGTGAAACCGTGTCCAGAAAGAGACATTGGTTTTTAAAAGAGGAGTCAGTATTGTTTATGGTTTCTAATAACACAGCCTGTTCAATCCCAGATGTCTGTTCTTTAAAAAAGGCACTTACGATCCCTCGGTATGGTAGATGCATGACTTGAACTCACGAGTTTGCATTTTTGTTTCACTCCCAATGTGTCTGTGTGCTTAAAATAATAAAGAAATCATAAACTGCCGGTATGTAAAATCGAGGCTGACTCAGCCAGGTGTGCAGGAGTCGTGTCACGGGAAGCTCCAGCTGGTTCACTTTTCCTGTGATTTTCCTAGATAGTTACTCGTTTTTTCACGTTGTTGTGCCCTGCAGGGGTGCTTCAAAGAAGGGCCAGTTCCTGGGGCTGGAGGATCTGCTGTTCTACACCATCACGGAGGGGGAGGAGCAGATCCCCGTGGCACGCTTCATCGCCGTGAGTTCTCACGCATGGGCCCAGATCTGATTATCTCCGCCGCACGCACTTGCACATTCCCAGGTTCAGCAGTCCTGGCTTGGAAAAACACTTCCGCAGGGGGTGGGGGGGGGTTGATCAACTGGTGTCCGTCCATAAAATCAGCAAGGCGGCAGCAGAGCAGAAAATAGTAAACGTGAACGTTTGTTTTTTTTAATTCCCTAGGGGTGCTGGGTTGAAAACAAAAAAAGCAATCAACAGGTTGTTCTGAGATGCCTGCCTGTTTAACTACGTGTGAAACTACGTGTGAAGACAACAGGAAGTGGTGCAGCTGAGAAAAAAAGGGAAATGAGAATGAGTAAAGGCTGCCCCCTCCCCCATCTCAGCCCTCCTGGGCCAGGGTTAGAGAGCCCATTTTGTGAACGTTAGTCTCCTCAGCAACTTTGTAGGTGGACAGATGTCCAGCCAGCATCTCATTTGTACACAAGCCAATACTGGTGCGCAAACACACTAATGCAGGAAGCACTGGTGCAGGCCCACCATGATAGAAAGACTGTCACGCACTTGCAGACTTATCATTATGATGTTCCCCACTGGTCCCCCATCTTTCGTATGAAAAGAGATGTGGTTACCACATGCCAGCATCTCAGTCAGGTCTCCACGCAGCGGGGTAGGCTGAGTACCTGAAAGTGGCAGTACTCCGTCATATGAGTGAAAGACACCCTAGGTCATATCACTGGACTGTCAGGAGGTTGTACAAATACTGGTAGTATACAACAGCTCAGTGTCCCAGACCAGGCCCTAGACTTACGTTCTCTGGGACAGAGAAGGGTTTAATCCATGCGGATCCATGGAGTTCATCCATGACACAGGCTGTGTGACAAGTTGCATCACTCAGATTTCAATGATGATGTTGTAAGAACGACATTAACAACAAACAGACTGCCCCCCCCCCCCCCCACAGCAAGACAAGAACTTCCTCCTAGGGGTGTCACAGCCAGTCAGGGGAAGGGAGCCTCTCTGATTGGCTGGCTGAGCCGATGACTAAGCAAGCCACATGAAAACACACACACATACCCTGCACTCTATTAAAAGCAAGATCTGACATTTGCTGGGCAGTCAGCCGTCTCACTTGTGTCTAGAACCGTGTAGAACGAGTAGATTGCTTTTGCCCTTCTCAGCAGTATTGAGTTTTTATAGGCAGACAAAGTTCACGGAGGCTCATGACAAATTCCAAAGAAGGACTTCTGAGTTTTCTGGGAATTGTTTGGCAGTCAGGGCAATCAGGGCAGTCCTTGACACAAGCTGCCAACCTTATGGCAGTGCCCAGGCATGAAGGAGGACAGGTGGACCATGCTTAATGTCTGACAGTCTACAGTCACCTACCTTCTGGGTTGACACTGTCACAGGACTAGAAGTATTGGATAATGTACGATTACATCATAGTTTTTTGGAATCCAAGCAAATCGGTTCCTGTTAGTTTAAATAATGCCAGGTCAAGGTTTTACAACCCTCTCATATTAAAATCCTTTAATATCATTAGTTGCAATGGGTTTTGTCATATCTCATGTCTGTAAATTTCAGATTTAGAAATGATTCATGATCACGCTAACGTATCTTAGTGGAGAATGACATTCTGAGCAGGCCAGCTCTGAAACAGCAGACTGAATGGAAAAGCTGACTAAAGGTCGCTTCGATGTGAAATGCTACAAGGCAACTGTGCCAGTGTCTGCCTGTTCTGATTCCATGAAACCTTGGGCACTTTGCAGTTTGAGCTCCAGCTGTGTTTGATGTTTGGACAGGCGCTGAAGAGCAGGGGTCTGTGGACCTCTGACCCCCGCCTGCGGGATTGCATGGATCTCCTGCGGCAGTCCGTCCAGGACACAGTGGGGGGGTCCATGATGGACAGGGAGCTCTTCCGCAAGTGAGTCTGGGATCCACACCTCCACTGTCTGTCAGCCCAGCCCTCTCCCTCTTTCCTTTCATCCCCTCCTGTCTCCATCTCCCACGCTCTCCAACCTTTGCCAAGTTCCTGTGTTTCTCTCATTCCCCCCTCCCCAGCTCTGGCCACTTTCCTCTGCTTACCTTATTCTCCATCTCTTCTCTGTTTCTCATTCTCCCTCTTCCTCTCTCTCACAGTCCTGACCGACACCATTCATTCTCCCTCTTCCTCTCTGCTTGCCCCCATCCAGTAAAGACACAGAGAGCGATGTTCTCCGCTCCTCTCTGCATGACTTCAAAAACACTGGACGTGTATAGCTTCTCCCTGGCTCTGATCATTCTGAGACGGCTGAAAACAGAACTCTCTTTGCAAGTCTTTCTGATTCAGCTTCATTTTATAATTTAGGTGCCGGACCGGAGCTTTGCGGTCCATGGAATACACCAGAAATCCGAGTTGGAATGACACTATCCGTCCAGGAGGGGAAATGTGTTGTGGGTTATGCAACTTTAGACAGTGATGATATGTGAGATTCCTCAATGGAAGAGCTATATTTAGTTTCTTGTAGTGAGGGAGGGGCGCGTGGTGGGAGGAGGAGGGCATGTTGGGTGACAGTTTCGGAGAGAGCAGTTTGACAGATAACAGCTGCAGCTTCCAGAAAGAGGCGGCTTCTTTTCTGTTTATCCACTCGTGACTCGAGGCTGTTTTGTCTTGATTTCAAGATGTGTCCTGGTGCCCTGCTTCTGCTGTGAGTCTTAATCTTAGGAGGGCGACTTGTTGTCATATCTGTTCACAACACAAGTAGAAGGGAAGGGAACATGCTCTCCAGGCTTGATCCTGGGCATCTGCGTGGCAGTAGCTCTTAACAGTGCCCACACACTGAAGGCTAAATAAGGAGCTCTGCTCTGGGAGACCAGTGCGAGTTATTATCCCACGTGGGTATTATCATGGCATCTGGGAGTCTGTTTTGGAACATTTGCCCAGTAGTGAGAGAATGTGCATTCCTCTTGCTTGTCCACCCACTAATCATACCAGCATACATCTCCTGCACTCACTGGGTGAACATTTTCCATGTGTTTTTGAGCGTGTGTAGCACTATATCAGGAGTGTGTGTGTGTGCCAGTAAGTGCCAGCATGCACATCTGTTTATGCCATTTTACAACTGTGTTCTTGTGTGTCTGGTGTCAAAAAGCTAGTCTGAACGCAAGGGACCGGAATTTCGCAAGTAGTAGCTCAACATATATTTTAAATGATATAAAAACTACTTCATCATAAAATAGTCTCAACAGATTTCTTGTGTATCAGTGGAAAATACCCAAAGGCTTTTTTCCAAGACTTTTTCAGATTAAGAGTTTAGCACAAACTTGTGTGAAGTGTAGAAGTGTATTTAATACCAATATTAGGAAACAGTTCTTTACACAAAGCGTTGTGGGAGTGTGGAACAAGCTGCACAGCCATGTTGTGGAAGCCAGCGTCTTGGTTTCCTTCAAGAAATGGCTGGATGAGACCCTTGGATCACGTACTTAGATTAACTGAATGACCTTCTCCCATTTCAAACGTTTCTAATGTCCTAATGTACTTAAGATGAGCCATTGGAGTAATGCTGTTGTGGAAGACACCCTACATCCCTTTCACTGCATTTGCACAGTTTAGAAAGTGTTTTCAGTCACTGTTCATTCTGTTGCATTTTGTTTTTTAGAGATTTAAAACTTTAGGCGGGTAGTTCCATCCCCACAGTGAAACTCAACACACATCATGGCTCTGTCTTACAGGTGTGTGGGCAGTAACATCGTTCTGCTGACCCAGGCCTTCAGGAATAAGTTTGTCATTCCTGACTTCGAATCCTTCACCGCCCACATCAACCAGCTCTACCGCAACGCCCAGGCACAGACCATAGGGAAGGTGTGATTCCTGTCCGTTTCCACCTCACTCTGCTTCCCAGACTGCCAAACCCAAAACTCCCTCAGACAGGCACAGACTGTTGTGCCCTACAGACCCCCACAGGACCAAAGTCCATCCAGACCTGCCAATCATCATCTACAACTTATACATGCCATTTTCTCACACCTCCACACAGAGCCCTGTCCCTTCCTCTGACCTCTGGCTCCTGGCCATAATCAGGCGGATGGGGAAGTCTGCCACACACATGCTCTCACACCAGCGCACACACGCCTGCCACTCACGTGCACATAGGCCAGCACACACACTCGCACGCCTGCCACACAGATGCACACACAACAGTCGCACTCGCACACGTGCACATATGCCAGCCACACGCACTCACACGCCTGCCACACACATGCACACACAACAGTCGCACT